GGGAGCGGAGAGTCCCATGAGCTGCAGCACCAGCCACTGCCGTCCGCCGAACGCTGCCTGTGAGGCCCCTGTTCAGCCTGCAGGTCCTCCGGGGAGCCCCCGGTCATAGAGGCTGCAGGAAGTCCTGTCTGGACGAGCGGACTGGGGACTCCGGCTACTCATTGAGTCAGGGCTGCCATGCCCCGGAATACCGTCCGCCAGGAGCACCTCCGCTCTGGCCGGCCTCGCTCTTTCTTCTGCGGGTCTGGAAGCAGCGAGGGCCGTGCTGCCGAGAGGTCCAGCTCAGCAGCCGTTGTTTATCAGAAAACCCTTTTCCCTGCTGTTCAACATGCTTTGTGAGGTGGGGAGGGATTTCCTCATGTTCCTGACTGACAGCGCCGTGCCGCCCTAGGTCTGAGGCTGGCCTTGCCTGGGCCCTGTGTGTACATGCAATGCAGCCATGGGCACGTGCACGTGTGGCCCCGTGCACACATGCCAAGCAGCCGTGGGCACATGCATGTGTGGATGTGTGGCGCGTGGGTTATCTAGTGCCCCCTGGCCCGCTGCATCACGCAGCAGCTACAGTGCGCCGGGGTTCTGGGTACATGCACAGTTGCGAGTCAGAACAGGCCTGGGGAGCCCACATTGTGTGAACCTGCCGGGGGGGACAGGCGCCCACACACCGACAGCCTGTCCTGGGCGGTCGCGAGTAGCTCAGGTGTCCCTGGGGAGAGAGGCCTGGGCCCCAGCTCCAGGGCAGGGAGCCAGCCCCTCCCGCCGTGGAGGCGCAGCTGGGTCTGCTGCAGAGCACAGGCAGGTGGAGCCAGGGCCAGGAGCTGTGGCAGGGTCGCCCCATCCAGAGGTGTCAGCCTCTGAGCCCTGCAGGTCTCAGGCCCTGGGCGCAGGGAGAAGGCGGCTGTTCCATCCCTCCCCGCTCCGCCCAGCCTGGCACCCTCAGGCTGGTCTTGGCGATGTCACAGGGAACTTCCAAGACAGGCCGCCTGTCCTCTGCCTGACAGTGAACCCTCCACTCCGGGACCAGCCTGGGCTCTGCTCTCCCAGTGCCCTGTCCCGTGACTGCGTGGCTGCACCCTGAAGTGTGTCCAGTGGCCTGAACTGAAAAGTGGCCCCAAAAGCAGGACTTCTGGGCCCTCCCTCCATCCCTGCATACACAGGCAACCACAGCCTCCGCAGGGTTCTCAGAGTCACCCCACACTGTCCCCAGGAGTCTAGGTGATGCAGGCCTGAGTGCGCCCACACTCTGCCTTCACCTTTGGCCGTGTCCCGCCCTGCGTGTCCCAGCCGCAGTGTGGGCTCCCTCTGGCCCTCCTCCCTCAGCCCTCGCTGTTGGAGCAGCGCCGGCTGCCTACGGAGACACAGCACCAACTTGCCCTGGGCTCCGAGGCCCGCCAGCTCTCAGGCACCATTACTGGAACACGCTGATCACTCTGCTCCTCCCCGACAGCGTCTGAGCCGCAGGCAAGCCACCCACACTTTGGGCAAATAGAGGCCCGGGTGGACTTCAGGGAGCCAGGCCCTCACGGTGAAGGACGTCCCGTGAAGAGCCAGTCCCGGCAGAGCACAGTGAGGTGCCCCGGGCTCTTCTTACCCCGTGCCTTCTGCACGCGGGTGCTGACAGCACAGGCTGTGAGGGTGAGGGCGGTTCCAAGCTGATTCCGCACCCAAGATCTCAAGGCACAGTGAGGGGGCTGGGAACTGCAGCCCTGCCGCACCCTGGACCGACGGCTCCACACAGGCAGAGGCGGACGGGCGCTGCCCTGGAGGTTGTCTGCGGGCCTTCGAGGGGCGTGTAGGAGTTCCCTGGCAGAGGAGGTGAGGGTGGGCTTCCCAAGCAGGTGAGCCTCAGTGAAAGCCAGGCAGCATCATGACAGAGGGCCAGGCCGGGGCCTCGGGCCTTCTGCCAGCTTGTGCTGGAAGCCCGTCTCTCCCGGGGCTGTTGGTCCAGTACCTGGTCCAGCACAGAGCCGCCACTGCCTGCAGCCGCCCCCGCCACTGCCTGCAGCAGAGCAGGGCCGCGTGGGGAGTTGTGCAGAGGGAGTGAGGGATGGCTCCAGCCGCCTCTGTCGTGGGGGAGTCAGGTGCCTGCAGGTGCATGTCCACTGGTCACTGCCCTGGGACGGGAAGCGCGGAGCCTGGGCCAGCTGTGCTGGGAGAAGGGTGTGCAGGTCACGCTCAGCGTCTCTGAACAGCACTCAGGTTTACGAAGCTTTACTCTGGATGTCAGACAGGGAAGGCGTCGACTTCGGCTCCTCGGGCCCCGGGACAGGGAGCACAGGACAGGCCAAGGTGGACGTCCTCCCCCCTGGCAGCCCCAGAGCCTCCACAGTGGCACGTGCAATGGTGACAAAGACACACAGCAGACCCGGCAGCGATGTCTGCCCTCTGCCCTCCTGTCTGTCGTGTGGTGATGACCGAGGGCCTCCTCTTTGGGAGAAGGGGGCACAGGTCGGGGGCGAGCAACGCCGAGCCCTGGGGTGTCCTCAGCAGAGCTGGGACTGTACACGGCACTTCTCAGCTCGTTCTGGGCTGTTGTACGTCCCTGGAAACTGCACGTGTGGTGCAGGGAGGGGCTCCACCATGGTCATGCCCCCACACGATGGGCTGGGTCTGTACTCCTGGCTCTGCAGGTCCACGTGCAGGACAGCCATCCTGTCTGCCGGCCGCCACCTCGCTGCTGAGAGTCGGGTGCGGTTGTAGCACAAGCTCTGTGAGCTGGAGGCCTGAAATGCCTTTCTCGGCAGAATTCGGAAGCTCACTGTCTGTGCTGGACCCTGGAGGGGCCAGGAGCCTCTGAAAGCACAGGCTGCCCCCCTCAGAGCCTCCCTCCATGGGATCACCCTGCAGGTCCACCTAGTTAGGGAGAGCCAGCGGGGCCATGCTGCAGGTCCACCTAGTTAGGGAGAGCCAGCGAGGTCATGCTGCAGGTCCACCTAGTTTCGGAGAGCCAGTGGGGTCACCCTGCAGGTCCACCTAATTTTGGAGAGCTAGCGGGGTCACGCTGCAGATGGACCTACTTACGGAGAGCATTTCTGTCTGGCCTACTCAGCCGATCCATTTTCATTGTCAAATCCTTGTCAGCTGCAACTTCCTCAGGAAAGGCTCACTTTCTTTTTAACTCAAATACTAGGTTGTTGGAAAAGTCCCGCTGCATCTTTACGTAGAGAAAGCGAACAATGCGTGAGGCCCTTCCCGCAGTCCGGTCACTGTGTTAGCCCACGTCCCTGCCCACCAGCTCTCTCCTGAGCTAGAGCAGCTGGGAGAGCTCTGGAGGACTGCCTTTCTCATAGAAACTGTTCTTGTGACAAACGCACGTGGTGTTTCGAGGTCTCGTGGTGTGACAGGCTCTCTCCTCGTGTGAGCGCCTGAAGCCACTGCCCTACAGGGACATGCTCACAGAAACTTCTAAAAGGGCGGACGAAAGGTCGGAGGAGGCGTCTGGAGTGGGCCAGTGGGACAGGAGACTGACTTGCGGAGGCAGCGGGCTCTGAGGGTTGAGAACTGGTTTGCTGGGACCAGCCACGTCCACACAGCGCTTGTTGCCACAGGCGTAGGCCACAATGGGATGCTGGGGGGCTGCTCCACACTCTCCTGGCGGGGTACTGTCTTGGGGCTCACAGCTTCTTTCCCTGCCCAAACTACCCCCGCTGTTTCCACAGAGAACATCCCACATGGGGTGCCTCGGACACGGCGTTGGCCAGGTGGCTCCCCGCCACCTACGAGGATGGCTTCAGTCAACCCAGAGGCTGGAACCCTGGCTACCTGTACAACGGCTTCCCCCTGCCCCCGGTAGGCACCTCGGCCACGCCCAGGGTGCCCACTGCTTCTTACTAGGAGGGAACCACCTCGTGCTGCACATGTGCCCGTGGGCCGGCTCTAAGAGGACCACAGCAGGCTGTGGTCCTCTCCCGGCCTCTCGCCTCCCAGGAGGTGGAGCCGAGGGGCCAGCTGGGTTCTGAGTTAGCAGGTGGCTCAGACCTGGCCCGGCCCCAGCAATCAGGCCCATGCCTCTGCCTGACTATAAACCTTCACCTCTGCTGTGCCATCGGAAAATGGGGTGCCCTCTTAGCTGTCTCCCACCAGATGCTGCCTCAGTTTGGTTCCTGGGGTTTCTGAACTCAAGGTGATTCCATAAGCCCGCATCAGCTCAGAATCCCGTAGACACTTAGAAATGCCAGGCTCCGGGGCCTCTGAGGTGGACGGTCACGGTGGTGGCACCGTGGGGTCGTGACGACCCGGTTCATTACCTCCAGTTCTGCAAGTCAGTCCCCTGGCCTCCCTGGGCCAAGCCCGAGGTGCTGACAGGGCTGGACCCTGCAGGAGGCTCCGGGGAGAGCCTGCCTCTTTGCCTCCCAGCCTGCAGAGGAGCCTTCTGCTGGGTGTGACTGCGAAGGCAGCGGGTGGCTTCTCTCCCCTCTGTTCTCTGACTACCGGCTGGAGGCTCCCAGGCTGTGAGTGCCCATGGCCCGGGGGTCCCCTGGGAAACTCAGGGAGCCCCTCTACCTCCCAGTCCTTAGCAGCACCGCACCTGCGTGTTCTGAGGAGTCAGGCGTGGGCCTCTGGTGCAGGGGCCTCTCTTCCTCTGACAGTCCACCCCTGTGCTCACAGACTCGGCCACTCCACGTGCTAAACACGCCTACCCACCCCAGCCCACCGCAGCACCCCCCGGATGTCGTGGCCCGGCCCTAGTCCCACCATGTGCACATCCTGAACCCCACCTGCAGGGGCCTTCCCAGGGTCAAGTCCCTCTCCACCCAGATATCGGAAATAAGGAAGCCACTCACCTGCCCAGGCCCCAGGGCGGGGAGGCGCATGGTCACGCTGCAGCGTCCGGGCAGAAAGGCAGAGAAGTGGCTTTCCTGTGGCATGCGCGTGAGTGGCGCTGTACGTCGCATCTGGAAACCCAGTAGGACACACGCTCCACCAGTGCCCAGGCCACGGGGTACCCTAGCTAGAGCTCCACCCTGACTGCGGGCCGACTCCACCGTGGCCACTGTCTGGTACTGACTCTTGCTATGACCCCCAACCACCCAAAAGCCCGGGTTCTCACCCATTTTCAAGTGAGGAGACTAAGCTCGGGCTTTCACGTCGTAGCTCAGTGGTGGGGATTCAGGCCCCAGCGTGGCTGTCTTCAAAGCTCAGCCCTCCCCATGACTGCAGGGGACAGAGCCCATGTGTGCTCCTGCAGCTCCACGGATGTGGCCGGATACGTGATCCGTGTGCCACCACGTGGCCCTCCTGCGTCATGACACAAGGCTCTCTCCACCCAGGTACGGGAGGTGACGAGACAAGTGATTCGCGTTTCCAATGAGGCCATCACAGAGGACGACCAGTACTCAGACCTCCTGACAGTGTGGGGGCAGTACATCGCGCACGACGTCGCCTTCACGCCGCAGAGCACCGGCGGGGCGCTCGGGGGCGGGGCCGACTGCCTGCTGACGTGCGAGAACCAGCATCCGTGCTTCCCCATCCAGGTAGCTCATCGGGGCACGTCATCCGGCATGGACACGTGCACTCAGGGAGTGTCCCATTCCCAGGGCACCGCGCTCCGGCCCTGCAGCAAAGTCCCTGTGTGGCACGCGGTAGGGAGGGTGCCCAGGGCTGGCCCTTCACAGAGAGCCCACCATGGGCGTGAGGACACCGCCCAGCTGCCGCTCCCACCAAGGCGGCACTGGCTGGGGGCCCTTCCCCGTGTGGAGCTCCTGGGTGACCGGAGCGCAGACGTGATGACCCGCCGTGTGGCCCGCTTGGTGGAGCGGCAGAAGCGCCAGACACGGGTGTGCTACGAGGGAACAGGTGTGCTCGCAGGGCTCCACGTCTTTGGGGCTCCAAGTCCAGAGGTGTCAGGAATGGGGAGCAGGCAGAGGTGGCCTCACAGAGCACGTCTGTCCCTGGCTCTCCTTCTTCGTTCTGCTCCTACGACCCCGCCGGGGCTCCCTCAGGGACCTGCCCTGGTAACCTGTCACTCACAGGCCCCACCCTGGACACATGGGAAATGAGCTCTCTGCCACACTCTGACAGGAAGCTGAGGGGCAGCGGCCCCTGGCGGACAGCTGTTCTGGGAAGCACCTGGGCGTTGTTTAAGGAGGTTATGAGGCCTCAGCGCGCACGGCTGGGCCGCGTCCCGCACGGCTCGGGGCTGGTCATGCTGAAGCGTCTGGCCGTTCTGCTTCTCAGTGTACACGCATGTGGGTGCTGTCGGGTCTCGACACCTGTCGTGTCACATGCATGCACACTCTGTGCCTGGTATGGGCCGCCAGCCCTCTCCGTGTGCACTGAGTAGGTAGCAAACAACGGTGTCTGCCCTCGCTCCTTCGTGGTGTGCGTCTTCGAACCTGGCCAGGAGCACCCCGGTCGTTCTAACCAAGGACGCGTTTGGACGGAAACCTGCAGGCAGGACTCCTAGCAGACAGGCCACCAGGGCAGACGCCAGGCATGAGCAGGTGCAGGGCCTCCTGTGGGGATGCAGAACTGCCCTCGAGGGCTGTGTGCAAATTCCGGCCCCGCCTCAGTGATGCAGTGTGCCACAGTGAGCTGAGCCGTGGGTGCTGGAAGCCATGGGGCCCTTGGGAGTTAGATCCCAGGCCCTGTAGACAGGAAGCAAGCCAGGTACGTGTGCACATGCCCAAGATCTCTGGGAAATGGGGGGTGACGAGCCTGTCACACGTTTCCCTCTCCCACGCCCTCCCTCCATCTCCCAAGGTGTGCACACGTGCATGTGCTCTTCACGATGAACGGAAAGTAAGCAAAAAAAATGAAAATGAAAAACATATTTCGACAGATGTTTGCTATAGGGCATGTGCTCTCGCCACAGAGACAGAGAGACAGAGAGACAGAAAGCAAGAAATCACCCCCCGGGCGGATGGCCATGCTGCAATCCCTTCTCCATCCTCCTCTTGGGATCTTTTTTTTTTTTGGAGAGGTTTTTGCTGTAGGGCACGTGCGCTCGCCAGACAGACAGAGAGAGACATAGAGACAGAAAGCGAGAAATCACCCCCCAGGGGGATGGCAACGCCACAATCCCTTCTCCTCCATTCTCCTCTCGGGATCTTGGGCACACATGCACACACGCCTGGCGTGAGTTTAAGCCACTGGGTCCAGGACTCGAACCGTGGTCGACTACATGGGAGTCCAGCGACATCGCCATTACGCTAACTGCTGGTCCCCTCCTCTCAGGATCTTGGGCACACACGCACCTGCAACTGGCATGAGTTTCAAGCTGCCTGGGTCAGGACTCGAACCACAGCAGGCCATAGGGGAATCTAGCAATGTAACCATTACACCACTTGCTGCCCCCCAAAGGAAAAAAATGAAAACTGCATGTGCTGTGCTAATTCTCATTTACCCGTGCAGAGGTGGTACCGGAGCGAGTGGGGCCCGGAGCTGGCTGCGCCTCCCGGCTGCGGGGGCCTCCGAGCAGAGCTCCATCCTGCACGTGCATGGGGGGATGCTGACGGGCATGGGCCCTACACAGCTCAGGGAGCCCTGCAGCCTGGCTGGCCGCTCTTCACAAGAATCCCATGAAAGGTGGCAGATCGTGGACCTCCACCGAAGGAGGCTGAAGAAGGGCAGAGTGGAGAGGGTCCCAGGTCTCCTTTTCCTAGAGAGTCCTTCCTGGGGCTGGACTAGTGGTGGGCTCTGCTCACTGTGTTCCTAAGGGAGACTCCCTCACAGGGGAAGATAGGGGGCAGACCCCCAAGGGACACTGAGCCAGAGATGCAGGAACCTGCCAGCAGCTTGGAGGGGCCATTCCGCTGAGACCCCCAGGTTTGGAAAGCAGGTGCTGGCCCCTGGGCTGGGACCCGCCTCTGCCTGGCCTCTGCAGGCAGGGAGCTGGGAGAGGGCAGGGCAGGAGGGCTGGCGGGACTGAGCGCTGCCCTGGAGAGGAGCCTGGGGCGCGGGACAGTCCTCACCAGAGCTGCCAGTGCCCTTAAATAGGACGTCTTCTGCCCGGCAGCTCCCCGCAAATGCCCCCACGGGCTCCAGCAGGGCGTGTCTGCCCTTCTACCGCTCCCTTGCCACCTGCGCCTGCAGCAGCGGGGCCCCGGGCGCGGTCCTCGGCAACCTGTCCCAGGCACGCCCACGACAGCAGATAAACAGGCTGACCTCCTTTCTGGACGCATCCACCGTGTACAGCAGCTCCCCGGCCTGGGAGAGGCAGCTGCGGAACTGGACCAGCGCCCAGGGGCTGCTCCGTGTCAACATGCACCACCGTGACTCCGGCCGCGCCCTCCTGCCCTTCGCACCACCGCCGTGGGCCTGGGCAC